CCCCCCCCCAACAAACGCAGCCGCCACAACGAGGAAGACTCCACCCGAGCCGCGAAAAGCATCAGTATAGAGGTAACACACAGTCGTTTCAGCAGCCGGGCCCGTTAAATGCAGGAAAATAAACGCGGTGCTATTTTGTTTGTTCTCATTATTCTTGTTATTACTATTATTTTGGCGCTGATTTCGTGAAGGTGGCCCCCGTTTACTCGTAGTTCTCGGATTCCTGCTGCACGAGCTTGAACCGCCTCGGGCTCTTGACGCACATCGAGCCCGGGCTGTCGGTCGAGTGGAGCCGACCCTTGCGCTGCAGGTAGCGCCTTATGTACCGCGACACCAGGATCTGGGGCCTCATCTGCCACTCGTCCAGCACCTCTTTCGGGGCGCACACCTGACAAAACGATCGAGTAAACAAATAAAAACAAAAAAAAAAAAGAAGAAATTGTTGATAAAAGCATGAAAATTACGTGTACCTGGTCGCCCTTGAATCGGTCGAGGAGAGCGACGCACACGATGCCGGCTTTCACCCCGGCGAGGTGGGTGAGGGCCGCGAAGGCCGTGCTCTCCATCTCGATGTTGACGACCCCGGCGTCCTGGAGCTGCTGGAGGTACTCTATCTTCTCGTTTTCGCTGAATTCGCAGAATGCACCGTCCAGCCGACCCTGGCCCTCGTAAAAGTCCGAGGTGCACATAGTCTTGCCGGTTATCGTGTCGTATGGGTCCTCGGTGCTGTGGAGTACCTTCAGCTCGCGCACCAGTTGTTTGTCCAGCTTCGCCGGCCGGCAGATTTTTTTGCCGAGGATGTGCTGCGACAACGACGCTTGTACAATCGTTAACAAAAACAGCGTCTCTTCGACGCAGGACTATATAGGTGTGTAAGTACCTGCTCGTAGTAGGGGTTGAGCATCTCGTCGACGGCTTCCTCGGATATGACGACGGTGCCGCCCTCGACGCCGACACCGCCGCACGTGCCGATCCGGAAGAACACCGGGTCCTTCACTTTGGCGTGGTACATCAGCTTTATCATCTCGTGGAGGAGGATACCGATCGAGGGGATGCCCATGCCGTGCTGCGTTAGACCGGGACAAACGAAATCATTTTTTTTTCATCAAAAATACCGAGGCTTTTTCGATTTTCTCGCGTTAAAAGGACTCGAGTATACAGGACAAAACCGTTGTCCCGTACCAATTGCAAATATACTCACGCTGACGCAAAGGACGGGTCCGACCTTGTACATGGAGTAGCGATAAGAGTACCGGCTGATGTCGAGCAGGGTCGTACCGGCCGGAAGCTTGTGGCCTATTTCCGCCATTATGTAGTTGGCGAACTGCTCCATGCGCTTTGGCGTCCCGCCCATGCAGATGAACTGCAAAGGAAAACCACCAACTTTGTTACCCGAGCGATGACAATTTTCTCTGGCTATCTCCCCACCCATTCTCCTTTTTTTTTTTTTTTTTCCTTATGTATAAGTACTTTTTCGGCTTCTCGAACATTTTACCCGCACCTGACGTCGGGAGTCAGTTATTCAATAGACCCTCGAGATTTCGTTCGATCCAAGAGTACACCGTTCGTTCTGGGTTCACACGATTGTTCAAGACCACTGTAACTTTTTTTTTTTTTTTTAAATACTAGTTTATCGATTAAGTGTGTTTTGTTATTGTCTCTTACATTTTTCCAGATGATTTAGGATTCGTAGCTGCGTGTATTGAAGCTAGTTAAAAAAAGTCGTGGAAATAATAAAATCGTGACGCGCACGACTGGCCATCTGTTCGTGATTTAAAATTGATCGTTCGATACGATACGAAAAACGCTTATATTGCAACGCTCGATGATTGTGCAACGTACGGTTATGTCAACCCATGGGTTATCTATCGAGTCTCAACGGTCGAGGTCGCGAATGGATTTTTTATTGCCTTGTTTTGTTATTCTTTCATCGTGTACTATGTATAGTTGATGAAGAAAAAAAAATTCAACTTATTCTTATTGCTCACAAAGAATACACGTTGTAATTACCAAAAGAGAGAGATAAAAAAACAATTACGAAACTCGTGCTGTTTTTCCCCTTCCTGATACATAATCTCTCAACTGCACGCGTAACTGCACTGATTGTGTGATTGATAGCACGAGGCTTGTGCACGCACGCTCTTCTGTGTGAGAAATAAAACTACGAGCAACTTATATGCTTTAAAACTATAATTTACAGTTCAGCCACTTGCTGTATATTTTTCCAATTGGTCATTACTTTACCTACGATGTAAAACATTCCTTTGGATTTTTTTTTTTTTTTTTTTTTTCATTCAAAAGACATACGAACATCATTTTTCAGCAATAATACTTTTAATGCGAAAAATAATGTTTTACTGGTACCTTAATGTCGCCAAACATTTCGACGAGATCGTGAGATCCGCTGCCGAGGGCAAGATGGTACAGGATGTCCTGGTCCATTAGCTCGATGTTGGGATTTCTCAGCCGCACAGATCCGTCTCTGTACCTGCGATGATTCAATATGCATATTTCAATTAAAAATCAGCTGTCGAGGTTGATGATTGAAAAAAAATATTCACATTTGCAGGAAGGTTTTGGGTTATTGGGAAATAGACTCTGTGAAAATGTATATATATATATATATAT